TATAATTTCACATAATCGCTCAAATTTGCCAAAAGTTACTGAAAGCTTTATTGTAAATGTTTTCACTAAAATATTAGTTATTGGAATTAAAATTTTATGCGAATCCAAGTTTTATTCCCATTTTTAGAAAGCGCAAGTATGTATATGTTCATGCCACAAAAACTATTTCATAAGTAGGTAATTTTAAACACACATACATATGTATGAAAACTGGCAATCAAAAGTGAGTGCATGCTGTTTTTTGTTTAATAATTGCAATGTTTTTTAAGTTAAGTTTTTTGTGTTATTTTCGACGGGTTTTGCGGTTTAATGCATATAACAAGTGCAATATAAAAAATAGCGCTAATTTTTTTTAAATTTGTTTGCAAACGGTCATGCGCATTTTATTCTACAAAAAATTCCCTTTTATTTGGTAAAAAGTGCAAAAAGCCCTCAGCAATAAATAATCATTAAAAATCAACCGGATTTTTTAGCCGCTTAAAACTTGATCTTGTTCCACTAGAATTAAAAAACCGATCTATCTGCGTACTCAAAATTTTTCTAAAAATTCAGATTAAACAGGTCAAAATTTAGACGAGAATTCGTTGAATTTTTCTATGTTCTGTGTAAAGTAGTTTTAATTAAAGCATGAACCACATTTTTATAAAAAGATAATAAAAACAATTTAATTGAAAATCATTGCAAATATTAGGCAAAAAACCCCATGGACTCACTTTTGATTGCCAGTCTATGTATGTATGTACATATGTGTGTAAACTTTATGCCAAACTATCATTATTTTAAATTGTATTTGCTTCTTCATAAAAAGAGAACAAGATAAAAAATGTAACAAAAATTACAAATTAATAAAAATTATGTGAAGATTTACCATATTTTCGTTTATTTGCTCGCAAAGAACATCACATTTCATGTTGCTCAACATTGTATTATGTTATCAACATTAAATTCAACAGAATTTCTACATTCCGACTTGAACTTTTCTAACGCTGTTAACTTTTCGTCCGCGAATAGTTTCCACTTTCAGTTTGCCTATCTAAGTTCTCTGGTCCACGTCTCATCCGTTCGTATTTTACCAGGTCTGTTCTCAAGGAAGAGTCTTTGTGGTTAAATTTTAGGAAGTCGTTTACCGTATATTTTTTACTATTAATATATTGGTTCCAGCGGGATGTGATAGGCCAGATGCTATTTTGGTTGTTGGCTAGGTTGATTTTTAAGTACTTTTTTATGTCGTCAATGTTATAGTTGGGGGTAGTTGTTAATGGAAGTTTGTGTGCCAATTTGGCAGATTGATCTGCAAATTCGTTCCCTAGAATTTGAAGATGTCCGGGGACCCAGATAAGGATAATATTGGGGTAATTTTGTATTAGTAGGTTCCTAATGGCTTTTGGGTAGTATGAATCCTTACTAATATTATAAATCTGAAAGTGAGTTTGTTTGTTTGCTGTGCTTTCACGCTTAACTACTCAACCGATCATCATGAAATTTTGTACACTGGTGTCTTTTAGCCCAACTTAAAATATAGGATAGATTTAATCTCGATTAGACGAGGGGCGTGGCACCTCCTATACAAACTGAATATTTCATACTGCAGTTCTCGGGAACTATTTTTGATAGATTACTGGAACTTGGTATGGAGATATATAAAATCATTATCTACTCATGGATGAGAGCTGCCACCTTATAAAAAAATCAAATTCAACTGTAATTTAGGGAGTTAATTATTTGAAAGTTATATTAACAAATGGATGTCAAGAGGCTTAAAAAAGCTGTAGTTCGAATATATTTTGAAAAGGGTTGCCAGCTATTTGAAAAGTTAAATTTAAATTCATTATACGCAAGCTATCTCAAGAATCAAAATATGGTTGTCTAACCAAATACTGTTAAGAAACCTTTAGTTTAAAGTGCGCGCAAAGGTTCTGGTGGTTGATTTCTCGATGGTGATTTGAGATTTTTCTCCATGACTATAAGATTGATTTGATATATTGCCGTACCAAGTTCCGGTATTCTACCATGAACACTTCCAGAGATATACAGTAAGAAAAAATCGGTTTGTATAGGAGGTGCCACGCCCCCTTTATATGTCGAAATTTTTTCAGCCTATAACCATCCTTGGGACGTCTGAAGCAGGTGTCCCGAAATGATTTTTAATGGGCTTTATTTCAAAACTACATGTAAGAAGTGTCCACCTGTTTAAAATCTCAAATTGAGTGCAGGGGATAACTTAATTGAAAAAGTATGACAAGTGAGAAGTTTAAGAAAGTTTTAGTTTGAAAACATTTTGAAGATGGTTAAACAAATTTTAAACCTCCTGTTTTTGAATTGAGTTTTCTTTAAATACTCAATGTAGCATGCACAAATTTCATACACTCAGCAAAGCGGGTGAGGGCGATCTAGTTGTTTTCTAAATTTCGTACGGCGTTTAACGAAGATGGAATCAGTACATATTGCAGCCTTTGTGTATTTTGTTACTCCATATTATAAAGCCTCTAGGATGGCGATAACTTCAGAAGAAAATACCGAGATGTAATCTGGAAGATTTGCTACTTTTATAACCTGATTGGAGGTTGTAACACTATAAGTTATTGAGTTATGTTCTTTCGACCCGTCAGTAAATATGAATGCATAATCAGAGTATGATTGTTTAATTTCCATAAAATTTTGTTGGGGGTCAGTTGAGGATTTATTATTGGAGTGAAGAGTAGTGTTGATGGAAGAGGGATGTAAAACCATTGAGGTATTTCGGGGGGTATTAATTGGATTGGGAGGAAAGGAATATTCAGGGAGGAGTTCAAATGAACTGACTTTTGGATTGCCGATGAAGTTCTCATATGGTTTGCGGATAATATATTTGTGCTTAAAATTGGTGCTAGTGGGGAGTCTAAACTCATCAATAAAGCTTTGACAAGCTTCGCGGTTGTAAGGTATCTTATATTCTCAAAGGGTGTGACATTGGCTTCATACATCATGGATGTTGTGTTTGTGGTACTAAAAGCACCTAACGCGGTTCGCGGCGAGGAGTTTATCATCGTTTTAATTTTGTTGATAAGTGATTTGGGAGAGTAACCGTATAGAAATATACCATAGTCGATTTTAGCCAAGATCAAAGCATTGGCAACTGATATTAGTGAGTGGGTGTTGCAGCTAAATTTGTTGCTGGAAAGGCATTTTATGATATTGAGCCTTTTCGAAAAAGATTGTGTCAAATAGTTAATGTGTGATCGCCATGAGTATTTTTTGTTGATTATTATTCCTAATATCTTAAGGTCGTCTACGTCGGTGAATGATATATTGGAAGCTTGAATAGAACAGTGGCAGTTTGGCTTTCTACATATGTGTAGATGTTGCATTTTGATGCATTTGGGAATTGAGATTTCTGCACCTGAATAATCGCACCAAGACGCAGCGTGTTCAAAAATATTGGTAAGATCTATAGTTGTGTTTTTGTTCTTATTGAGAGGTTTTATTATATAGGAATCGTCTGCGTAAGCAAAGAATCGTAGTTGCTTTTGAAGGTTAATGATATTGCATAGCTTATTGTAAGCAATTAAAAAAAGAATGACCGAAAGGGGCGAACCTTGGGGATGCATTTTCTAGAGGATTGACTTTAGAGTAGATGTCACCGATTCGGACTTTAATTTTCCGATTTGTCATGAAATTTATGACATACTGTATAATGTTTGGACCTAGCCGCCATTGTACTAATTGGTCTATTATAGTGTGTAAACCGATTTTGTCGAAGGCTTTAGCAAAATCTAGGGCAACAAGTGAAATGTGGTTTGAGTCTGCCAAGGATTCAGTAATCAGATAATCTAGGAAAACTAGAAGGTCTGCTACTAATTTGAATTCCTTAAATCCCATCTGATTACTGAGCTGAAGTTTGTTAGAATCAACAAACCGCCACAGTCGGTTGGCGATGATTTTGTCCAGGACTTTGGAGCAGCAGGGATTGAGAGAGATAGGTCTATAGGATTTCAAAACAGATTTATTTTCGTTTGGTTTGAGTATCGGGATGATGGCGCTCGTTTTGTATGTTTGAGGGATATAGTGTTTGAAAATGTTATTGTATAGAAGGAGGAGTCGTAGTTTTACTTCAGTAGGAAGATTTTTTATTTGGGGAAATGATATTCTGAAAGATCCCGGAGTTTTTCCTTTTAATTTGTTGAGAGCCATGGTCATCTCTAAACAGGTTATATCTCTTTCGATTGTTTGAGATTTAATGGAAGGAATGGCTACTGGGGGAAACCGGATAATAGTGTTCTTATTTGATTGGAAAGTGTTAGAAAAGTTTGTATTCGAAGCTTGTTTTGACCAGTATTTGGAAAACTTGTCAGCTACAAGATATTTGTCAGTGATGTAAGTGTTTGTGTTATTTTGAGATTGTATGCAGTGAATGTTTAGTGAAGTATTAAGCCCACATAATCGCCTGATGTTTGCCCAAACGTTTGAGATCGGAGTAGTTGGATTGATATCCGCAGTGAAGTTATGAAGACTTCTAGCTTTTTCTAGTCTTAGCTCACGCTTAAAGGTTAAGTTAGCCCTTTTGTAATCTACGATATATTCAGTGGTAATAGGCCGTTTTAATAATTTAAATAGCTTATTTTTCTCGTTTTTAAGTTTTTGCAGGCTGTGGTTCCACCATGGTACATACTGCGGCCCTTTAAGGGTTGAGGATTGAGGGATCGTTTCGTTTGAGGCTAGAAAACTTATTCTGTGTATATTTGCAGCTTCTTTATTAATATTATTGCTAATTTGACGGATCGAATTGAAATGTATAGCTTTGACTTTATGGGTAGGCCAGTCTGCGTGTTTAATTATAAAGCGGGGTGGGGGAGAGAGGTAACTATGATTTGGGGAAGGAAAAAGGTGGGTGATGATTGGGAAGTGGTCGCTTCCGTAAAGATCGTTTTCTATTGCCACATTGATTGTAGTTTCAAGATAGAAGAAGCTAGGGTGAGGTCTACGTGGGTAAAGGAGTGACGGGTGGAAAAATGGGTGGCTAAGCCATTGTTAAGGGTTGAAAGTTGAGACTGATCTAGAAGTTTTGATATGGTGTTACCCCTGCGATTATTTACTGGTGATCCCCACTTGCTGTGCCAGCTGTTGAAATCGCCTAGTTGAGGAATAAATGCTGTGGAGGTTATTGAGTGTAAAATTTTGAAGTGGATGGATGAAGGAGTTAATAATTGTAAATTTGACTTTTGACTGAATTACTGCTGCTATTGATTCTATGGGACTGTTAAGAGGTAGTGGTTGGTTTTG